CGGACCAAAGGATTTAAGTACTTATACAATCTATAAGCTCAACAGGTCTTATGATATATCAGACATTGTCAAGAGGTAGATTACGACCTAACCTGTTGTATCCAAGATGGTGGCAAACAATTTCAGCTTCCGTCTGACCAAAAGAACCAGCACAGATTTCCGACCAGGTATTATTGTACCAGATTTCTACCAAACCTTCATTAGTCTTTTCACCACCGACTAATCTCATTACAGCTGTAATATAATGGGGAATGAAATGAAATGTAGTTTCACATCCTACTTATCTGCTCCTGGTTGGGTTACTGTGGACAATCAAAACTATGAAGTGCGCAATGTGGGATTATTCGAAAAGACAATGGCATAAGCCTAGTGACATTTGACCATTTGACATTTACTCCCTGCGAGCAATCGCATCAACCTGCCAACCGGAAGTAATTTCTCAAGGTTATTTTATTATTATGAAAACAGTAGCAACAACAACAAAACGTGCGGTTAATTTGCAAATAGATAATGGAATTCTTTACTTACGACCACATGACACCGCTACATCTTCAGAGTGGTCGCAGTCCGGTTTATTCCAACCCCTATGTGGGCAGTCAGCCAGGCTGGATTCACTTCCGGTACACTCTACTCTTGAGAACCATATCGACCCCTTTCCTTCTCCGAAATAAGCTGGACCTCTCACAACAGCGCCTTCACTGAAAACAATTGGTAAAATCAAAACAAAACATATATAAATATAGTATGAACCTACAATTGAGAGTTGTACAACGCAATACTGAGAGACACGGGACAGTGCAGTACATACTACAAGAACTGATCGTAAACGTTCAAAACTTATTTCATTGTAACAAGTACACACGTGTCCTTACGCTTGGACTGTAAAAGATGGTCGTAACCGTTCAGTAGGCATACTTACGGATTGAGTCCAAGTTGCCGACAAACAACTTGTGCGTTCTCGATCCTCCAGTTGGAAAATTCACACATGGTTCCCCATGTACCATTATATAAATACTCTACCCTTCCTTCTGTTGGTTTTATTCCATCAACCAGTCTTACATCCGGTGCCTTGGCTGTAAATCGAAAGTAGAAATACACCGATTGAGATACCAGAACCAAAGTTTCTGGAAGATTTCTGTAA